CATGGAGAAACCAGAGGATGTCATTATCAAGATCGATGTGGGCGGGTCTACGACCGAAGAAGTAGAGTATGCTGGTCCAAATGCGCTGCTCACTGTCGATGTGGTGTTGGACGTTATCGTATAACTGTCATGGCCACAGCCACGTCGGCGAACACGACCGGCTGCTGCTGGCTTTGATATCTCGATGGTATCACCATGGGCTTCAACCCCCACAGGAGTGAGCCTGTAAACGGCTGCAACCACTGAATTACTTCGCGACTCAGCGCCGCGCTTCTCAATGGTCGCCGCATTAGCAACAGAAACGAGTGCTATGCAAACGGCCGAAACCATTAAGTTAATGTGCATGTTGAAGAAAGGCCTGCGGCGACGCGGAAAATAAACGAGCGACGAAAAACGAGCGAATGACGAAGAACGAACGAATGACGAGAAGTAATCTCCATCTTAGAATGGCATGTCAATGTTACTTGTACAATATCTCCCCCGATGCTTCAGCTGAATCATTAGCTAAGAGAGTAATTTCATCGCAAATGATAGGCTGGAGATGACCAATGATTATGATGCGGCTTGGTCGAATCTGGTAGAGCCTGGGCCCCTTTGACGCTATTCCCGCAGTCCTAAAGAGACGGCTCGATGATATTAGAGCTAACTGGTATTAGTGCTATGAGCATCCCGTTGTCTTGAGATACGCGATGAATCAATCCAGTGGTCTTCAGCTGGACTTTGCAAAGTCAAACCGGCGACTAACCTAGGAAATATTATTCAAGACCATAGCGACTCTAGGTTGTTGTCGAAGTTCATCACCAGAATTACTGATCGAATAGAAAACACATGAAACCTCGCGACATAGTATTAAATTGCCTCATTGACTGATGCTAAATTAAAGGTGTCTTGGCTTCACCCTAACCTGGAAGCCCACCGGCCTCAGGTTAAACCAACCATCCTGCTCTAGCTTGTACCCCGGATTGGCCATCTCAAAATCAACTTCTTTGATCAGCTTCGCCAGCGTCGTCATGTTGAACTGCCATGCCCAGTGCTTGCCGATGCACTCCCGCTTGCCGTTGCCAAACCACTTCTTGACTCCTTGAGGCAGAGCGTCAAACGCGTCACCCATCATGCGCTCGGGCTTGAAGGCGAGCGGCTCGTCGAACACAGCCGGGTCCCGATTCACGCCCGCCAAGACCAAAATCACCGCCTGGTTGTGCGCGATCTCGTACTTGCCACCCGCCAGTTGTACGGGCGCCTTGCTGTCGCTCGGGATCGGCTCGATGTTGAAACCCGGCGCCGCGAACGACAGCCGAAGCGACTCTCGCATGATGCCCTCGATGTACTTTAGCTGCGCCAGGTGTGCGTACGTGAGGTCGTTGGGACCCACGACGGAGTCTAACTCCTGCCGTGCTTTCTCAATGGTAGCTGGGTTCTTGAGCAGCAGGTAGATGGCGGTAGCGAGGAGCGCTGGTGCCGTACTGCTGCCGATCGGCATCGACACGATCTCGTCGATGACTTGCGAATCGGTGAGTGCGGTGCCGGTCTTGGGGTCCTTGGCAGTCATCATCGCCGCGAGTAGATCTTCGTGATCTGTTGGGTTCGCCTTCCGGTAGTCCACCATTTCTTGCGCGAACGTTCGCATAGTCTTGGTGCTCTTGCTGAGTTTCCCTCCGTACACCAACCAATTGAGAAATCCCGGCCGCGTAGGCCGCTTCATGGCTTCCGACGTGGAATCCTCCATGCCCTTAATCATCGGATGCTCGGGCCCTGAAAGGCAATTCAACTTCTTTCCGAAGAGCGTCAATGTCGTCACTTCGAGGTTTAGTTTGTTCAACTCTCCAACGGCGGAGACTTCATTCCTGCTACCAAGGCCCTTCCACTTCTCGATGAACTCGGAGGCACAATCCCGCATCTCGATAAAATGCCCCACGAGCGACTGAGGGGAGAGCTTGGGCGCCATGATGCGATGGGCAATACCCCAGCTCGCTTCGTGGTCGAAGGCAGTGAAGAGCGCATCATGCACCGCGTACCGGATCTCGACGATTGGACCGCCTACGTATTTCCGAAACCGTCTCTCATCGCATAGTTCTTCACATAGGGCCGCGCTGGCTGCAAACATGACGGTCTGGCCTAGAACCTTGATCTGGAATATCTCGCCATACTTCTCCGAGAGCTCCCGCAACGATTTCCATGTATTGTTGGGGTCGACGTCGAAGACGTTGCCGATGAGAGGCACGCCGGGGGGCTGCGGGATCGCAGTCGGCATGGTTTCTGCGAGTTAGAGGGTAAATCGTAGAAGAACTGAGCTTGAAGCCAGCTAAACTACCTGGTGGCGGCCTCCTAGTAATATGGTCCGGTAGCAAATGAGCAGTCAAGTCTCACCGCATCTACATATAGTACGCCCTCTACGTCACACGTTCTATGCACGGCGCCCTTCCGAGGGTACTGGTTTCAACTTCTCTTGGCCAACTCATCATGCAGCACCAGCTGGGTAACGAAGGACCGAGATTATCGTAGTGAAGCTCCATTGCGGACTAGCGAGCATGTTTTTGGTGAGACAACGTCTAACCCAGCCTCTTTTTCCTACCAATGCCTGGACAATAGAGCAAAAATTCGACAGCTCTTTCAGCTAGCGTTTTAGGACGAAACGCCATGGAGAGAAGCAGTTTATCTTTTTCTCTTTAGCTTTTTCTTCTTCGCTGTGGGGAATGTCTGATATCGAGCCGTCTTGGGGAGGAAATCGACGCTTGTGGCTTGCGCAAGGGTGCCGATCGTGAGGGGAGGTCCCGTACACTATCGGAAGCAACCTGCAAGCGTACATTGTTCGCTTCACTTGGCTGCGAATCAGCTAGCTGGAGGACCTATCACATACACGCTATTCTAATCTATCGTTTCCAGGATGTGACACGGTTAACCACAGCCGATCGGGTTTCCGGCCTAGTTGGCCGGTCCTGGAGTAAGCACGCGGGATGTAGGTTTACAGAGATAAATTTCATGACAATCATTATCGTACAGAATCCTTGCTCTACATTTGATCGTCCCAGTGGCACGTACCCCTCGCGGAGAATTAGCATCTTTTTGGAAATTAAAACCACCCGACTAGTGAGCCGTTAATAACCAGCCACTACCTAAGGTTTGAAGTGAATGAAAGACTCACTTTCCGGTGCTGGTGCTCGTGCACGTAGCGACCGAGTTGGACTTGGACCAGTCCCAGTCCATCTTGTACGAGTGCGCGGTGCCGAACGTCAGCCTACCGCTCTCGGTCCGCGGCACCGCGAACTCGAAGGCCGCCTCGAACAGCCGGCCGCCGTACCCGCTCGAATGAGACGACACGATCGTCGTGCACCACTGCCCGATGTCGATTGTCCTGCAAAGAGCACCGGCTGGTCGCCCTGCAGCCGATCGCCGAGCCCGACTTCTCCCAGTTGTTGTATTCGATCTCCGCCTCCACGAGCCAGAACTGTCCTGCGCGAGCGAAATTTGTTAGTGTACCTCCCTATCTTTTATTGAATTCTTCTCCGCAGTCTTACGAGCAATGGTTATTGGTATGTCTCGTAGAGCGAACATCGTCGTCGCCGGGCTTTAGTATCTCATAGCCTTCGACTTTGTACTTGGTCGTCAGCATCTCGTAGCTAGGGTCGCCGTCGCAGCCCGGAAGTTTTTCCCGGAAGGAATCGTGATCGATGCGCTTCATGATTTCCTCCGTGCCCGCCAGGTCGATGATTTCTTGCACGACTTTTGCGTCTAGGCGTTCTGTCGCGGAGTCTGTGGGTACTAGACATATACGCTGCTAATTTCAGTAAATTGTAGTGCATTTTTAGTAGTTTTCATGAGATTTTTGTGAGTAATCTTTGCAGAGAGTCCGCATAACTTGCCGAGTACTCGAGTCATGGAGAACCAGGGAGAACTCTAGGTTCTTGGCATAAAGACATTGAACTACATACACAATACCTTGGGATACAACTTATATTGAGAGTCGCGGATGGAATCAGGGCCAACTACCAGACGCTTGGTAAACTCAACCCACGATACCATTGAGCGCCGCGTCTATCAACATAATTAACATGACTCTGCTTGGCATTTGGGGATGAATAATGACCTCGTAGGCCCCAGTACCGAATCCACTCGTCGGTGAAGCTCGAAAAGGGGGTTTGAAGTCATGTCCACTTGAATCTAAGTGAGTCGCATTAAAGCTGAAGATCTTCGTGGTATATCTTGCCTGATCATAGGAAATAAATAACCCTTGGCATAAAATTGGGTGTCCTAGCATGATCCCTTGCACCCTGAGCGCGTGGATGTTTGATATTGTGGAATCACTCAGTTGGCACATCCAAATAGCTCAATATCAACACTTTGTATAGTCCCTTAATACCATTCAATCACGCTTGAACTAGGTCAAAGGATTAGTGTTGCCAAATAATTTGAAGTTACCTACCTAATCAGCAGTAAGTGGCTTGGATTGCTGTCCCGATCCTTCGCTTTAATTCATATTAGTCCGTCCCTATTCACCGCATACACTTGAAAGAAATTCTCTACCAGCACTTATTATGTACTTCTAAAGAGAAAAAGAATATTTAGATTAGGCATTGGAGTGGGGTTTGTAGATAATTGGCTCAATTGTAAGGTCGCTATGATGTGTTTTTTAAATCCCTGAATGTAAATGTCATGGGATACTTATGTCGTAACTATCATATATCTTCCCACCTCACCTCTTGGTCCTTCTAGATACTACAATTAATTATTGATGATGTTTATCCTCCTTTTCGTTGTCTTTGATGCAACAGTAACGTCTCCGGAATGAATGAGCATGCAAGAAAGTGAACGTGAATTAAATGATACTTAATTCACGTCCTGAATAAAGAGATGATCATTATAACCACAAATATCATTGCTATCTCCTGAGTCTTTCATGTTCTTATAATCGATAACAGCGTCGGGTTGAGCTGAACAGATGAATGATAGATACGGAAAGAATCAATAAAATTAGTCAAACGAAAATAGAAATAAGAAAAAAACGTATCAGCCGCGAATCGAACGCGGGGCCCATCGCTAGCATAGCAACGACAGATTTTACCACTAAACTACTGATACCTCCACCGTGAGGCTCTTCCAAACCTGGTTGATAGAAAATCATTTCAAATAAATATATATATATAAATGAGGTATATTAGGTAAATAAGTGCTCATAACTTCTGGGGGTGGCAAAATCTTTCTTTAAAGAGAAAACCCGCCAATTTTCAGTTAAGTGTTTAGGTTATCTGTGTCTCGTGCATCTCAGACCTAGACTGTCGTGGTTTCAAAAGGCAATCAATCAGTTTTTGGAATTGAAATATAACGCTGTGTGTGCATGGAAAGCATCGGGCTAGATCCCAAGATATATGCGAAACACCTTTTCTTCCCACTAATGCCTGGCTTCCTCGCGAGGGTAATAATCTGAATATTACAGCTCCTTTTGGATAGTATAGATAAGTATATGTGATCTCTAGTCTTAACGTTCGATATCCCGATCTAGTAATAACATCGAAACGCGTGGGTGGTAAGTTCATGAGCTTACAGTGCGGATTATCAATTTCATCATCCTCGCTTGCTGGTAGATGATTTCATGTTAATTATGCCTCTGTGAAGCTAAGTATACTAATAGGATAGATTTATCCATTAGTTCCGATTTTTATACCCCACCACCAAAATTACCATTTATATTCAAATAATTTGCAAAAATTCAATATAATTATAATTAAATAATAAAAATAATAATTAGATTCCTAAGCATTTAATTATTAGAATTAAATATATTAATTATATATTACGTATATAATTTGTAAATAAATATTAAATAATTTAATTAACTTTTTAATAAATTTAAAATTTATAATTTGTTATATTATTTTAATTAATTTTATCATATACGTAATATTTCTTTCGTTTTATTTTAAATAATAAAAATTAAATTTTAATTTATAAATTTTCTATTTAAAAATTATTTATAAATATTTAATAAAATTCAAATTTAATAAATATATAAATTATTTTATCGTCTAAATCCCGTAAAATTCAAGTTATTCTTAGATTCATATAGATATATAAATTCAAATATTATTTTATATAAATTAATTTTTAATTTCGTAAAAAAATAAAAGGCTTTTTTTAAATATATTTATATAATTTTTAAATAATATATTTTAATATTTAAATTTTAAATTACTTTTACATATAATAATCGGGCTAATATTATTTTTTTTAAATCGTAATTATATTATTATTTATATTATAATTAAAATTATAAATTTAATATATTTTTTAATATTTATTAAATTAAATTAATATTTCTTATAAAAATATTATATTATTTAAATATAAAAATTACTTAAAATATTTATAATTATATATTTATCTAAAAATAATATTTTTATAAATTTTTTTAGCGTAATTAAAAAGTAATATTTTAATATAAAAAAATAACGCTAATAAATATTAATAATAATAAATTTAATATATTTCGTAACTTTTTATTTTTTTAAGTTTTATTAATATAATTATTATTATAAAGTTTTTTTATTTATTATATATATTAAATTATTTTATATTTCTTTATATATTATATAAAAATCATAACGAATTATTATAAATAACTTTATATTTATTATATTAAATATAATATAATTTTTTTTTTTTAAAATTTTTAAACGTAATAATTATTAATTTTCTTAGCATTTAAATTAATTTATTATAATATTAAATTAATATTTAAATATTAAAATAATAATTTTTTTTATTACCCCTCCTAATATAATTTTAATTATATTTACTTTAATTTTTATTTTAAATTTTTGTTTTTTTCGATAATTACGCATTAAATCGCAACTAAATTAATTTAAAATAAATATAATTTAAATTTATAATTATAATTTAAATAATTATTATTATTATTATTATATTTAAATTATATGTGAAAAAATCCAAGCTAACGGATAAATTTATTTTCTTAGTATATTTACATATATAAATATTTGGTTAGTATTATTTCACTCATAGGTTGAATGTGTTTAGTTTCGTTGTTAATCCTTTCGTGGTGTCTAGTAGTTTTCTTGCTTAGACTTGATATCAAGCATGCAGTCTCATGACTTATCATAACCAGTGATAGCGACTCAATTATGCCAGGGTAAGTTTGTCTCGAGGTGAGCGGAAGTTAGTACGCATCGTACAGCTCTACCACATAACCCACCCAGCACCCAGAACGACCCCTGACTGTTTAGGCAATACTTTACAGAACCAGAATTTCTGGACATGGTAAGCTTCAATACGATATAATCGGTAACGACAAATGGCACCTTATTAGTATTCAGTCAAAGCCGACATGATGATAAATGATAGATGGTAGGTGGTGGCAGAAAGCTACCCAACCCTTCGCTACCTACATAGCCACAGCTGCAGCCATCACCAGCATGCACGAAAAAGGGGCTATTGGCTTCCAGCTGACGTCAGATGGCTTGTGTCATGAATCGTTTTCCGTAATAATTCAGGCTCGGCAGGCTTTTCTTTCGATATCAGGCTTGCCAGAGAGTTCAGGCGTGTGGTAGGACGTTGTGTTACCGTAGGTAATATATTTGCAAGCTTCAATGTAGAATGGACTTCATAGGTACTTCCATAATGTACTGACACGGCGCACTCGATACGGCGTACATGCGCATTGATTATGAGTCGTCTTTTATTCTCCGTAAGGAGACAACGATGAACTACAATTGGGAGCATAGGGCTTTGAAATTCCAAACAAGCTTATTCCAAGTATTTGACACTGGATAGTGGTGTGTTCTAGATACGTACTTCGATATCCAGTACCTAGTACAATCATACCTGATGTTGATGTATCACATTGGTGACCGGCATAGACCCCAATTCGCAAATATGAGGGTGCGTTTTCATGCGTGCTACTCAGAGTAACATTTGGATATAGATATTATTGCGTAAGCTTGTGTTTATATTATGTATCCGACTTGTTCCAGTTGTCTCACCTTAACCTTGGAGAACTTACGTCGGATGAGAAAGTAGTAATTGGATGGCTATCTAATACTCCTAGAGGAATGTTCCGTCTGGCTGTTTGATGTTGTAATAATTTTATTCGATGTTGCGATGACAATTCGACCCACGATTCTCCATTTTAAGTAGCACCATCGAAATGAAGAGCAAGAATATCACTATCAACTAGTCCTATGCTTGAATGTCTTGTTGCCTTATCTATTCGAACGGCGCCCACTATTCAATGTACACTTGCATAGGTACATAGTAGAGCCGCCTGGCCAACTCTGGAGTAGATTTCGTCACATCGAATATAGATTGTAACATTACGCGTAAGCCCCTTGAAAATCTCCATTAACACGACCTAACGCATTTGTAAGACTACAGTTTGATGCACAACTTATTTCTACTTATTTCTACCAATGCGTCTAGAGATTCAGGCTGGAATATGTCCGATTGAGTCATGACCACAGTTAGGTTTATTTAGTATGGCTATGTAACTCGAAGAAACATTGTAAACTCAATCCTCAATGTTCCTTCGTGTGAAGCGCGACAATGCTTAATTGCACGACGTCTGAGGTCTCACTTCCAATGAATTGGACTAACCTAGTACGTACGGGGCGGGATTAACACGGCCTCATTTATTTGCGGTTACGCGGCCCCCCGGTTTCATGCTGCTTGAATCGTGGAGAGACGATCAGATCTGACAAGTCTTGAGGTTGGTCACAACTCTTTCCGCTTTGAGTTGAAATAAAAGTCTTCGTCATCTAGTACATGCCGTGTAGGGTTCGTATGGGTAAATTTTTCTGAGGGCTGCCGCGTAATGGCGCTTGACTCTAGTTTCAGAGTTGGCGTTTTTTAGGCCGCAAACTGTGGTGAAATATGGAGAACCTACCGACCCAGTCCGTTGGTCAAGGGGGTCTCTAGTAAGATCCTCCCGCGCTAGGGGGGCGACAGCTAATATCGCCGAGGGACTCGTTGTGGCTTTGCACCGCCAAGCGTAGAGGCACTGGCGTACACAGATTCTAAACACGGGCAAGAAGCTCATACGCATACGCGGCCTCGCTCTAGGTCAGTTGTTTGAGGCATGGTGCTGATGCATATTGGTCAATTAAACTGGAGCCCTCTTCTAGTAGACTCGCGGTCTTTTCTAATAAGCGCGTCTGAGCTGAGGATACCTCCTTCGTCTGGATGTAAACTGTGAACGTAAGACGCGGAGTAGGGCCCGCAACCCATAGAAGAAAGGGGGAAGTGAAGAATGATAGTGTTTCTTGATATGTATAGAAAACCAGTACCCTGGATCAAACTTGACATTACTTGTAATTGTCACACTCGTTAATAAGAATTTACTAGACGTTATTTTCTATCCATCCATCATTAGTCAATTCAGACATTCGATAATATTATTGTTTCTTTAGCTTGGATACCCCTACAACATCGTCTTTCATTTCCCACGGAGAAAATTGTATCTTTACCATACTGAAGAGAGAGCCATATACTAAGTTAAAAATGGCCTACGCTGCGAAATATACCCCCAAGCCTATCACGGACATATTTACCAACGATACAGACATTGACCGAAGACAATGTACTCGGACGGTTCCCATGAAGGTCCTTTTACTTGGAACTGGACGAACCGGCACAGCTTGTAAGCAGCCCCTAGAACCACGACTGCTCGAAACTCCAAAACATTAGATTGCTAACTACTGGCTTCATACGTGTAGCTATGAGAGCAGCAATGAAACAACTCGGATACGTTGACACATACCACATGATGAACTGCTCCATCGAGAACCCCCCCGACGCGCTCCTCTGGATGGACGCGCTGCGCGCCAAGTACGACGGCGTGGGCGAGCCCTTCACGCGCAAGGACTGGGACAAGCTGCTGGGCAACTCGCAGGCGGTGTGCGACTGGCCGGCGTGCGCGTTCGCCAAGGAGCTGATCGAGGCGTACCCGGAGGCCAAGGTGGTGCTGACGGGCCGGGACGTGGACTCGTGGCACGCGTCGTCGATGAAGACGGTGTACTGGCGGGCGACGGACCCGGAGCTCCGGATGCTGTCGCACTTCAATTGGGCCG